TGCAGTCTTTCCCTCCCTACTAGCGTGCTCACCTCACCCCAAATTTTGGTATCATCAGCAAATTTAAACAGGTTGCTTTTCACCCTGTCGTCCAAATTGGTGATAAAGAAATTGAACAGCGCAGGCCCAAGGACCGAGCCCTGGGTGACTCCACTGCCCGCTTCCCCCCAGGTCGAATATGACTCGTCCACCACTGCCCTCTGAGTACGACCCTTCAGCCAATCTGCAATCCATCTGACTGTGTAGGCATCAATGCCACAGTCACCTAGTTTTTTAATGAGGATGGGGTGGGAGACGGTGTCAAAGGCCTTGCTGAAGTCCAGAAAGACTATGTCCATGGCGACACCTGTGTCCAATGTTTAAACAACTGGAGTTTCAGACTGGTGGAGTCATGCTCACTTTTGTGCTCCATTAGTTGTAGATTGGCTCATTCCAAGGATACTCTCCAACCATAAGTTAGAGCAGACCTGAAAGACACTCTGTGATATGGTAGATACTGATTAGCTCAAGGGCTGAATAGCAGCCAGGAACTGGCAGGATATAAGCAAAATCTAGCTGTCCCATTTTGCTCTGGCCATACCTCTATGCTTGCAGTAAAGTAGTGGATGGTGGAAGAGCTTCTACTCTTGTTTAAATTATGAAAAAGTGCCATACAGAATGCATCTACACATGTGCTTTGCTGCAAAGTAGACCAATTAGCTCTGCAGTAAAGTGTCATTTTCTACACAAGTACTGGTATTAGAGCGCAGTAGATTAACTCCACCATAAAACAGTACTGTTGGGGATAGTACTATCTTATGGCAGAGAAATGCTCATGTAGACCGTGACCAGGTCTGGCTGGGGCACAAAGGGGCAAAAGTACAGGGGCTGCCTGCTGCTCAGTCCTGCACTTTAGCATCCCTGTAGACCAACCAGTCTCTCTACTGCCCAATGCTGGCACCTGTGGCTAAACCCCGAGGCCTCCAGCCAACCCAGAGCTGCTCTGCCCTGACTCTACTGCTGCAGTCCCAGGCACACGTGAAGATACTGCTCCTAGGAGAAACAGTTTGCGCTGGAGTTTATTCAGGTGCATTAATTCCATGTGTAGATGTCCCCATACAGACTCAATTACTGGCTTATAAGCCAGACTTACCAATGTAGTGCAAAGTAGATAGATCATATCTCAGAATCTCTCACACAGAAAGGTTTATATTTTATTTTCACAACCAAAAAAACCAAACAGAACTGGCACTGAAACCATAAGGAGCAATACTGGACATGAATGGTCTATAGCTGGATTACTCCAAAAGTGAGCTTTCCTCAGAACCATGAATACATGTGCCTTTCCCTGTTGAACTTATCTCAAGATAATTCATGATAGAACTAATTCCACTCTCAGTAATACCCATGGCAACTAGAGCAACACACCAAACTTCAGTACAATCACAGGACTTCATACATATTTTATATCAAAGCCTCTCCTTTAACTGTCACACAAACATGGATGGGACTTTTGGAATCAGTTCTAAGACAGTACAGAGGTGAAGATACACTTAAACAAAAGATGGTGAAAAAGTTCAGGTACCCACCCTTTCTAGTCCAGGGCCTATTAAGGATTCAAAAAACTAATGCCCTTTGAATGAAATTCACTCCAAAGGCATTGCTAACACCTAAATCTTCAAAATAAGGCTATTATCCTGCCATAGAAGGACACATCCAGAAATCATTAGGCCATCACATCAGGAAACCCTGTAGAGAAGATTTTTTACCATTGTGATTACACCAAGGGCAAGGCATTCAGTTTCTATATGTTCAGGAAAAAGAGATTTTTCTAGTTTTGATTGGCAGAGTTGTGTTATACTTGACACTCATTTGAGTCCTTATTTCTTTTCTGTATCAGTATGCAAGTGCCCAGATCCACTTCTGGGTACTTCATGGTCAAAAGCCTGTTCAGTATGCCTGCCTCTTGCTCAAGTAATTGTCCTAACTCTGCTGTGTAAGTTTTATCAGAAGTGAATGGGCTCTCCAGATGAATGTCATTTCATTCACTAATTTTAATTACTTTTCAACTTTAGTCTCCTTCTGCTTTATAGTTTAGCATATCAGAAGCCTGGATGAAGAAATTCCATTTAAAACTTTAATTTACCTAGATAAGTAAAGGAAAAATAAATATTGAGATGCATGGTTCTGTTTAAAAAAAGAAAGAAAAGAATAGAAAAACAGCAAATGTTCCCAGAATTACTGCAGAGGAACAATGCTGAAGACCATGCAAAGATGTGCAGAAATTACTGCAGTTGCATTATGTAAGAGAGTGAGATTTAGATCTCCTGACAAAAAAAGAAGCACATCAGAGCTAATGCAAGTAGCAGAAATTCTTACAGGCAATCTGTCAAACTAGAACAATTAGAGGAACTCTTTTTTTTTAAGCCAGCTGTTCCTCATAACCTGATTTAATCAAGCCAACCCTGCATTTGCATAATTTCTCCACAGCATTGATGATGATGCTTTGCTTTTTTCAATCTTTTTTCTTAAATTAAGGAAATGCTTTTATCAAGTGCCTTTTGACAGTGCTCAGTAAGAACTTTTGCCTCCAACTATACATAAAAACTCTGAAATCCCAACCTCACCAGTAAAAGTGAAGATTTGGTCCTGAGGCAATGGAGCTGTGGCTACTGACACAAGTCTAAGGCAAGGAACACATCGCTCAGGTTGAAGCTGTAATAATACACAGTTAATAAGGGTAGGGAAAATAAATCTACTGTCCATATCCTTAGCATTCCCTTTGCCGGACCGTAATCTACTCTTCGCATCCTTTGCTGCAGAACTGAGACCCTGACTGTACCCCTTCTCAGGCTCCCATTCTGCACATGGGGCTCAGGGTTGGAAGTGCAATTGTACAGTCTCACTCAAAGTAACACTGGAGCTGATATACAAGCATTATGAAAACACAGGCAGCACTTACTGGTATGTGGTTGGACTGACATTGATGCGTCGTGGGTGACTTCCTGACTCAAACTTGCTTGCAAGCGTGACATTGTTTCCAAAGAGACAATAACGTGGCATTCTAACCCCAACAACTCCAGCCAGAACCGATCCTGAGTGAATGCCTATTCTCATCTGGAAAAAAAATGAGAGCTCTGTTAGTCAACCTCTCTACCTCTGTTCACTGCTAGCAATGGCAGAGTCCACTTACAGTATATGCCTAGACCAGTCCCAACAGTCCATTTAAAAAGATAATAAAATGGGGGGACAGTCTCCCTATATCTCTCAGCTTCAAAATAGACCACATTTAAAAGGAAAGAGGATGAACGTGTGTGTTCTTCTTACATATACATGTAGGAAGTTACTGACATGAAAAAATATAGTTATTTTCACAGGACAGCATGAGGTGACAAGGTACTAAAGTAATGTTAGTTATCCAAGTACACAGATAAATCTTAAGTCCTACAGTTAGCCCATATCATAAAATAAGATACATATTTTTCCAAATTGTTCAAAAGAATAAAGTGTAGTAAGTAAATATTTTATTTTCTTCATTTTACTTTTCCTCTATAGACTCAATGCTGCCTTTATCATTTTCTGAAGTGGAGAGATGTATAGATAAAGACGCCAAAGATATAATTAGTAGTACTTTTAAAACTAGTTTGCCACCAAACTATTCAAGAGGCACAGGTCCGCAGCAAACCAAAGGTATCTGTTTTATCAGCCATACCCTTGCAACTCTGGGCTATAGAGATTTAATTAGGCTGAAACTGAGTGGTGACATTATCGAACCCTATTCCAAAATTATTAATCATACAGAGGGATTTATTTTGAAGATTTTCTTCTCCCTCTTGCCTTGTGTTTCTTGCATGTGCTGTCTTCTGTATGGTGTATTTGTAAATTCTTTGGGGCTGAACTCTGCATGATCTATGCAGAGCACTGTGTATTTTTAAGGAAACTATACACGTTTTTTACAGTAATTAATAGCAAATTAATTTCCTGTTAAGAAATATTTACAATTCAAGCCTTGATTATGTACACTGAAAAAATGAGGAAAGCACATGCATTGCAATGGTTAGAATCCAGCTAGAAAATAGATTGCATGAAGATATTATAAGGAGAAATCCACCACCATTTAAACAATAAAATGCTGTAGATTAAAAAGGTAGATTTTTAGAGACCCTTTAAAATACATTTGAAAGAACAAATACTGCTTTGTGATTATATAGCATGTAATTTTATAGAAGCTTTCCATTTGCATTTTTTTATTAGAGGGTTTTCCTCAATCTTTATCCAGAAAGATGAGAGCAAAAATATTTTTTTCCAGCAGGGATTCAAAAGACAGAAACCTCACAAGCTTTGAATTTTAAGCAATTAACTGGATCATGCCTGGTGTGAAAGTAGTATGATTAGAAAAAAAAGCTATTAAGAAATCAGTTAGTAATGGTGGAATTTACTTCATGCTTGCCTATGGCTGCATCATTTAGCATGCAAATATATTTTATGAAATATTTATGGATCTCTAAAATGATGCAAGCAGGGTTTTGGTTTCAAATTTTCAATGGATAATCTACTTTCAAGTCTGATGTAACATGCATTACTTGAAGCAGAGGTGTTGTGTTCATTATTGTGCATTACAAGGAATTGAGGCTTTGTAAGGTGTTGAAAATTATTCAGCATTTTCAAATAAAAAGGGTAAATAAAGATAGCTGTGAACACTGTTAGTAGTGTGCTTCGAAGTCAGCGTACCATTTTAATCTTTACGGTTAGGGCTGCCAGGCTCTGGACTGGGCTCCCAAGGGCGGTGGTGCTCTCCCCTACCTTGGGGGTCCTCAAGAGGAGGTTGGATAGTTATCTGGCTGGGATATTATGATCCCAGCACTCATTCCTGCCCAGGGCAGAGGGTCGGACATGATGGTCTGCTCAGGTCCCTTCCAACCCTAGAAACTATGAATCTTCCCACTTGGGAGAACAAAGCCAGTAGTAGTTTGCAACTGCTAAGTTAAAGTTAATATTATTTTAATGTTCACATGGTCTGCCTGTCCATTCCTCACCTGCCTCCCTCTGTCCTGCCCCATCTTTCAACCACCCTCTGATATCACTTTTTTATGGTTTACCATCTAATGACATTTTTACGTGACCAAAGCTGTGTTCCTTATCTTTCCTCCTAAGCTCTCCTTATCTGCTGCATTCTTCCTTACAGTAGCAGAGGTCCTATCCTTCATTGCTCCCTTAGCCTTGTTCTGAATACCTAGGCTGCATCTAAATGCAACAGCTTTTTTCTCGCAAATTTTAGTAATCCCTTTTTTTTCTTTCTATTCACATAGCCACAGTTTTGTTCAGGCCCTCTTCATCACCAGTTTTGACTAGAGTCACCCTCTCCATACTTCATCCAAACCACAGCTGCGATGTTGACATTTGTTGCCTCATACCACTTCCCTCCTTGACTCGCCACTGCATCCTTTCCTGTGCCTCATCATGTCATGTTCAAGTTTCTTGTTATCCCCTTCCAGGTCCATTACAGAAGTGCCCCTTCCTTACACCTGCTCTCTTGTCTCTCACATCTTTCACTTTGCTGGTAGCTGCTGCTATCTTTGTTTTCTCTGTGTGCTTCCCGCACCTGTGGCATCTTGCACTTTATTACCTTCTTATCCTCTTGAGTGATGTACCTCCTACATGGAACAGCCTCTAAATCTCTAAAGCCTCTAATCTTTCCAATCCTTGTTTCAGACTGATTCTGCCAGTGAATTTCTTTCAGCAAGTTACTTACGGGCAAAGTAAGGAGAGATGAACATAAAAGAAGTGCACACATTCTGTTTAAAAAGCTTCTTTATATATACATCTGGTTATTGTATAATTTATAATTCATGATTTTGTTGCATCTGTTCATCTGATTTTTATACACTGCTCATCATCTTAGATTATAAAATCTTCAGGGCAGGCCCTATGAAGACTGTCTTTCAACATGTTTAAATATCACCTAAAAGAATTCAGATTATGATCTCTTGGTGTTACCACAACACAAACAATAGGATAAACCTTTTGATAATTTACTAATTCATCTTAAATTGAACATGGTTATTGATTTTTTAGTAGCTATTAATGCTAGTCTCACAAACACTTCCTTATACAATCAGAGCCCATTTCAAATGACGAATGTGTACTTTTATTTACATGTGATTAATACATGCCATTTGCATATTCAAGTATGAGTATATAAATTGAGCAGAATGTTTTATGATGATTCATTCCTTCAGATTGTGAAAACCTTTTTTATATGAAGGATTTAATCTATGAGTTAATCTCAGGACTGTATTTTCTGTCCACCTTTTGAACATTTCCTACCTCTCTCGTTTTATGCAGCTGCTGCTTCTGAAATAAACAAGGTATATCTGCTTTATTAGAGGGGAGAAATACTGAAGGGTTCTAAAAGATAGATGTCTTTCCAACATGGCTGCCAAAGCAAGAATTTTTCTTTTTACTGACAACCTGTACTTTTCTTACTGACACAGGAAGTTTTTTTTGTACTGACAAGTATTTCACTTTTATTAAAAGAATACATTCTTAGGTTGGCAGAGTATGTGACTTCTGTAGTGGCTTTACACCTTGCTGCCTCTACCTCAAGGGTCCCCTTCTCACCCTTGACAGTCCAGATTGCACCCTATTGCCCACCCCAACCTACCCTGCAGCCTGACCCCGGAAGGCCTGCTCCCCCTGTCCCTGCACTGACCCTTACCCACAGCCTCTCCCCATCCTGGCCCATACACCCATCCTGCCTGCACTGCCCCCCTCCTTGTACCTTCTATGTAAGCAGCTATTAGAAGCAGAAGATGGGCATAGGGACTTAGTAGTAGCAGGTTGTCTGGGGGTTGAAAGGGAGCGAGGGGGGAGGAAGAGTCTAGCAGGCACTGGTGAGGTCCACAGAGGGTGCTGTGCTGCTGCTCAGACAGCAGTTGGTGCTGCTGTGTTTTTTGAATTGCTACAGGATTTTTCCTGCAGCTTAAATCTGCAGTGGATCCCTGATTTTATGGAATGGAAAACATTTATGGATTTTTACAGACAGGAATGAGTGTTTTAGGGTGTTTTTTAATGGAGTGTCAATACATTTACAGACAGTTGGCAACCCTGCTTTCTAACCCGATCATGTATTTTCTTCCATTGATCAGAAAGAAAACTATTGTTTGTGTTACAAAGCCTTCTCACTTCATAGAGGGAAAAACCAAGAATTTTGCACCTTGAATAAGATGTCTTCCCTCCAAGTGAGAGCTTGAAAAGATGTTGATATTAAAGCATACTTTTATTAAAACCAAGAAGTAACCATCATAAACTGGTCCATGGAAGAACATTTTTTAAAAATAACATCAGTTCTGCTGTCGGCAGTGGAACTGAACTCAAGAGCTCACTAAAAGGGGAAGTTCATTCTGAACCTGTCAACTATTTTGGAAATAGTTCCTACACACACACACCTTAGAAAACTTCTGTATGCTCCAATGAGAAAATAACTTCCAACTACTGACTTTTGCTGCTATATGTAAACCAGCATCCAATGATAATTCTAGTTTTTGTAACTCTCATTATTAACTCCTCATATTGTAACAGGGGCTTGTCAAAATATCTTGTTCCCCTGCTAACTTTTCAGTAGTTTTGCTGGCAAAACCAAACATATTCAGTTTGGGAATTTTATTACGTTTTTTAAGTTTCCTTTCTTAAAGCTAATTGTGCCAGATTGCCTGTACTGCATTTTCAGTATTTCTTATAGATCTAAAACACCTAACTCATTAAGACCTTTTTATTTTAAACAGGTCTTTATTTTAAAACCCTTTCTATTTAAATGGATACTTAAAGTTTGCCACATAAGTCCATATGCAGATGCATAAAATAGCATGGACCACAGAATTTCTGCCACCTAGGCTTCTTAATGGATTTTCTTGATTAGTTTAAAGTTAGATTGGAAGAAGAAATAGCAAACTTTATTATTTTTCTTTAATGTGGATTCAAAGCGTAGCCAGTGGGGGCTGCTGGCTATTCAGCACTTTTGAAAATTAGGTCGCACAAGAACCTAAGTATACAAATAAGAGAATAACTTTTAGACACCTATTCTTTTTTTTAATTTATGGCCAAGAGTTGTCTTTTCA